TTATTCTCTTGCTGCAAAATCTCTAAGCCAAAGAAGGCTACCTGGGTGATGTCATGTGACTGGGCCTTGTCTGTGCTCCTAGGTGGGCCTCCCCCCTGGGTCTAGGGGTCTTATATCTAGCATGCTCAGTTTGGGTCTTTCCAGAGGTGTCTAATTAGTGTACCTGATTTCTTTCCAACCCCTTTGTTGTGGCCCTCTACAAGAATTGGGGAGACAACCTCCCTTAATCCCTATTCTGGCTACCTAACAGAATGAACAGCCAGCTTTTTATTTAAACTGATAATTGCAGACCACCCACCATTGGCTGCCTTTCCAGTGAGTCATCTGCTATTGGCTGGCTTTCTGTAGGGGACCTCTTCTTCCCAAGTACCTTCACTTCTATGCCCTGTTGCCAGAAACCAAGGTTGCACTCGGCCTTGTGGGGGAGGTGTGAGCATCCTATCTTTGCCCACCCTCAGCCCCTCACTGTCTCCATCTCTAACACTGCACTTCATCCTCCTCGTACTGGGAGGCACAGGGGAAGCGTGCCTCATCTCCCTGTGCGTTAGCATGCCTTCCATTGCCAACCCTTTGTTCTGTCTAACACAATAAGGTCCATCAAAGGCTTTGAGTATGGAAGTCTGTTGACGTCCTGGGTGGAGAAGGACATCTATGCCCTTGCGAGGATTGTACAACCCTGGGGACACTGAGCCTGAGCTAGGGCCCCATCTGGACCTCGCTCTATGAGTCTCTTTGTTTAAATCCTTTCTGGTTATAGTAGATCAGTAGCTATCTGTACAGGTAATCGCTGTGAATTCTATGAGCCATTTGTCAGTCTGAAGGACTGTCTCTTTTGAATTTGTGTCTTCTGTCCTTGCTCAAAGTGGCGGGGTCAGCAAAGAGACCAGCTTATCTACAGTGTAGGCAATCATGTGGATTCATAGACTAATTTGGGGAGATGTGTGTCAATCCTTAATGTAATGTATTTGTTCTTTAACCCTGGAAAGAGGTCTTGTGCAACAGATTTACCTAACATAATGCATCATTTGGTTTTGTGGCTGCCACTCCGTGAGTGTTGATTGTGGATCCCAAAGTAAAATGAAAACTGATCATTCAGTGACGTCAGGTGACTGGATTTCTTCCTTTAAACATCACTGTTTCTTGATCATATGCTCTGCCTTGAAATGGTTGGATTTCACAGAGTTGCTTGTGCTACAGAGATGTGTGCATTCCTTCCATCTTCTTTTGATGCTTCCTGCACTGTTTACATTTTGTCCATATAATATTCCAATATTGCGACTTGAGGCTTGATGTTTTTCTTCAGTTCTTTCACCTTCATAAGTGCCGAGCGTGTCTCCCTGTTGGCTGTCTAACTCCATGTCTTTGCGCATCGCATTGTGGTACTTCACTTTCTCTTCACCAGCTGCTCTTGACATTTCCTCCACAGCGCTTTCCTTTGCTTTCCTTGTTCTACATTCTAGATCAAGTTCAGAGTCTCCTCTGACATTGCTTTGTTGTTGTTTGTTTTCTCTGTAAAGTTTACAACCTAGGAACTCCAATGAGGTAGTTCTATTCAGCCCTGTACGGTGCTTAGTCTAATTTTTTGAAAATTTGAGTGTTCCAAGAAAAAGCAAGCTTCGATTCTTCCAGCAGGTTTCTTTCTTGGTGGTGGTGGTGGTTGTTTTTTAACTGTGGCAAAAACATATGTGAAGAAAGCATTTGCCAGTTGACCATTTCTTAGATGTCCAATTCAGTGACATGTTAGGGCCCTCATCTTGTGCAAGCTTTATGACTTTTTGTGTACAAATGTTTTCATCACTCTTAACAGAAATGCAGGCTCCTTTACGCAACAACTTCCCCTTTCCTTCTTCCTCCCCTCCCTAACCACTAATACACTCTGGTCTCCTGCATTGGCCTATTTAAGTGAGATCACACCAGCTCTATCCTGTTGTGATTTACTTCCCGCAGCAGAATGTTTCCAAGTTCATCCAATTCCTGACATGCATAAGGGCCGTATTACTCTCTGTGTCGTAGTAATATTCCATTTGATGTAGGTACCACCTTCTGTGTAGCCATTCAGCCTGTGAAGGGTTTTCAGATGGTCTCCACCCACTGGCTATCACATACAGGGTTGCAATGACCATTGGTGTGCCAGAGTTTATTGGTATGTTTGCTTTCATTCCTTTGAGGTATAAGCCTAGGAGGAGAGAATTGTTGAGTCCATAGAGTGATCCTCTGTATATCAAGAGGGAGCCCTGGTGGCATAGTGAATTCAGTGTTGGGCGCTAAAGCCACCGGCTACTCCGCAGGGCAGCTGGGGGGTGTGGATGAGGCTTTTTTTTCCTGTAAAGAAAGACTTACTTACAGCCTCAGTTTTATGTTTACCAGACGATAAAGAGCTGTCAAACTTTTTTCCATTGTGCCTGCCCCACTTAACAGCCCCACCAGCAGTGGACGGGGTCCCAGTTTCTCCATGTCCTCGCCACCACTCCTTGTTTCCTGGTCCGAGTCATCCTAACGTGAAGTGTCTTTCATTGTGATTTTGGTTGCATTGTCTTCATGGGTAATGACATTGAGTTTCTTTTCAAGCACCCATTGCTCATTTGTCTTTCTTCTTAGCTAAGAAGAGTAAGCATGTTCTTTGTCTGTGTTTTGATTGAGCTGTTTATGTTTTTGTTGTTAAGTTGTAGACGATCTTTGCGTACTTTCTGTGTTAGTCCAGGTAGACTAGAAAAACAAATTCATAGAGACTCATATGTGTACAAGAAAGAGGTTTATATACAAGAGCAGATAAATATTGAGGAAACATTCCAGCCCAGTCCAGTCCAAGCGCATAAGTCCAAAATTAGCTCATATGCCCGATACCAATGTATAAAGTTGTCTTCAGACTCACGAAACACATGCAATGATGCCGAGTGCAGGACGATCACAGGCCAGTGGGTGGGAAGTCTTTGGATCCAGTGGCGTTGTAAGCGTCTCAGTGTGGGCAGGGTCTCCATGTGGCTCCTCCAGTTCACAGGGTTGCATCAGGGTAGGTCCTGTGGTTCTCCTCAGGGCTGGCTCGCAGGAAGTCAGCCTTGTGTCTTGTCAGTAGAGGGTCTCCAAGGGAGTGAGCAGAGAGAGAGAGAGAAATGTCTCCCACCTCCACGGAGGAAATAACGGAGTTCCCAGAATTCTCAGGAGAAGGCCATGGCCACACAGAGGCCTCATTGGTTATATTTTGATTGGCAGCCAGACTCCACCCCTTCACTCGTAATCCTCTTAAATGGACACCAGTTTATATAACTACCACACTTTGTATACTGAATAATAAGCCCTTACTGATAGCAGTCCCAATCTGTAGGTTGCTGCTTTACTTTGTTATGCAAGTCCTTTGATTCGCAGAAGTTTCCGCTTTGATGAGGTCGAACTTACCTGTTTCTGCTTCTGTTGCTGATGCTTTTGGTGTCATATCCACGGATCCATTGTCAGAAACCAGGTCCTGAGACACGAGCACGATGTTTGTTGTTTCTAAGAATCCTATGACTTAGGTTTTCTGTTGCATTTACTTACTCATCTTGAGTTAAGGTTAGATAGTGTGTGAGTTGTGGGTCAGCTTTATCCTTTTGCATGTGGAGACTAACATCACTTATTGAACATACTGTTCTTTCCTCCTGGAGGAGATTCAGCACATCTGTCAAAAATCATTTGACTATAGATGGATGGGTTTAGTTCTGGGCCCTAAATCCTATTCTGTTGGTGTATATGTCTGTTTCTATGCCTGTACCAAGCTGTTTTAATTACTAATTTTTTTTCCTACTAAAGTTTTATAGTATGTTTTCAAAATGAGAAATGTGAGTTTTTCTACTTTTTCAAGAGTACTTTGGCTACCCAGGGACCTCTCTAATTCCATATACATTTGCAGATTTCATTTCTTCCATAAAGGAGGTTGCTAGAATTTTGATGGGGATTTTACATTAAGTCTGTAGATTGCTCTGGACAGCACTGGCATTTCGGAGTATTAATAACTCTTCCAGACCATGTACACAGAATATCCTTCCCTTTGCTTAGATCTTTTACAATTTCTTTCAACAATGTTTCACAGTTTCCGTGTAAAAGTCTTTCACCATCATAGTTAAATTTATTCCTGTTTTTTATTCTATTGAATTCTATTTAGAATTATCTACTTAATTTTTTTTCCAGATTGTTTATTGCTGGTATATAGAAAAATGACTAGTTTGTGTCTTGACCTTGTAGTTTAATACTTTGTCAAACTCATTTATTAATTCTAGTAGCTTCCGTGTAGATTATTTAGAGTTTCCTATGTATAGAATCATGTTATCTGTGAAAACGATAATTTTACTTCTCTTTTCCCATTTTGGATACTTTTCTTTTCTTGCTTAATTTTTATTAGTGCCTCTATTTTTTTCCAAAGAGGGAAATACTGTTGGTGCTGAGGATAGCTTTTGCAAACCGGAGGGTAGTACATCACATAGTTAAATAACTATGAATACCATGAAAGAGCATCTTTTTGACTCTGTAAGTAACATTAAGGAAAGAGCTAAGGAAATATCTCATGGGGTGAGGGAAGGGAAAAAAGAGGAGCTGATACCAAGGGCTCCAATAGAAAGTAAATGTTTAGAAAATGATGATGGCAACATATGTACAAATATGCTTGATACAGTTGATGTATGGAATGTTATAGGAGTTGTAAGAGCCCCCAGTAAAATTATTTTAAAAAGAAAGAAAGAAAACATCACAGCGATAACATCAGTGAAACCCTTAAAGGCCTGGGAGAAATGCTAAATGTGGTGATAATGTTAATGATAAAGAAGACGGAATTTTTTGTTTTTTAATAAGAATGAATTTTAGCAATTTAGTGGGTTGAGATTTTTTGTGTGTTTACATTTTATCACTAAATTTTGTTCTCATGTAAAATGAAATTCAGATGAGTACTCATCTGAAATAAAATTTTATGTACAAAATAGTTATGAAATTTATTTAATCATTGTTTTTTCTTTTTGCTTCTGTTCTAGTTACAATGTCTGGAAATGGAGAAAACAGTAAGGCACTTTTAATTTAATTTATGTAGCTTATTTATGGTATCTTAATTGCCAGCCACTTTTCTATGTGTTTTTTCAGGGCGAAAAATACTTTAAAAATCAAGTAATTAAAATAAGTAGTTTGGTTTTATTGTCATATATTCAGTACATTCACATCGTGTTATTTCTATAAATGGAAATAGCAATTATTTTTGAATGTGAAACTTCTTTGTGTATGTTTATGCACATGTTTCTGTTTTATGCTCTTCAGGATTTGGAGTGTTTTAAAATTAGTTCTAACTGGAAGCCCTTGAGAAAAGAATTATTTTACTCAGAAAAGCTTTTGTTTAAATGGAGTCTAATCACTTAGGCATTTATATTCTCCTACTATACCAATTTTGCTTCCCGCTTTCTACCTGTGTTAAAAAACATTTTACTAATTGCAGCATGAAATAAAATAGCAAGGCTGGAAATTTGTAAGTTGAATTATTAGTGCATTTTGGAAGGGAATTAAAATTTTTATGATGATTTGTCAAAAAAGACTGACTATAGGGAAACATTTCTCAAACTTTCTCTTCAATAGAAAGAAATTTCAGAAGTCCATTGACATCCAGTTTTAAAAACAAAATCTTGCTCTTTCTACAAAAATCCAGAGAATTTCTAAAACAGCTACAGATTATTTTTTCCCCAACAGTTTATTGGCATATAATTCACATATCATACAATTCAACAGTTCAGTCACATCAAGGAGAGTTGTATAGTCATCACCACAATCACTTTTAGAACATTTTCTTTTTTCTCGTACTCATTGATATTAACTTCTCATTTCCCCCCAATCTCCCCTGACATACCCTTGTGAGGGTAGCCAGCCCCCCACAACTAATCATGGTTTCATTAAGTGCAATTGTACTGTTGAGATATATAAAGATTATAATAAAGCCATAGAGAATGGGAGAGGTAGAAAAGAGAGTAAAATAAAGGCGTCAGACACGTTTCATGGTAGCATGCTCACCTCCTGGATGGCCATGATCTCAACAGCCAGGTCCACGCACAGCATGGGAGGAGGAGAAGGGCGGAGAGACATATCCTCTTTATTTCTGACCAAGGCCTGTATATACTTAGGGGCATGATTACAGGTAACCACACATGTCACAGGAAGAGGCTGTACAATAGGCAATAGGAGGGAGGTGAATTAAGGGTGTACACATGATAGGAAGGGAAGGGACTAAGGGTATACATATGACAAGATGGATGGACCCTAGATTCATGATAGCGGACTAACCTTGGTCACCGGTCACCATTGAGTGGGCTTGACCTCCCTGGGCTTTCATTCAGGGAAACAATCTAATACTATCCTTATCAGAAAGGAGTGAACCCTACTCAGGGTAGGACAGACTATACAGTCTGATTGCTCTAGATGGCTGATATAATCCTTAGGGAGAATAACCTCTGACCTACTTTTGTTGACCTCCAAGTATAGTCATTTACCATGTGTAGCAAGCAGCTAAGTTTGGCATATATTTGGGGGAGACAACTTGGGAGAAATCTTTCTGTTTCTCACATACCCCCAAGGAACCATTGATCCATTTACTGTCTATAGAGTTACCTGCCTTAGAAAGACATTAATGAAAAAAAAAAAGCTAAAAACAATAGCAAAGTAAAACATTAAAACCTCCATTGAAAAGAAAGCAGAAAATACTAAAAACTAGAACAAATTTGAATGGATCAGAAGGGAGATCAAATGATAGGGTGCTGAATTTTAACCTACCTGCATCTGCAACAATCCATTTGCAGTGCATTCTGCATGACAGCAAGGCTATTCACCTCACTTGTCCATAGTCAAAGGGGCCTCACCGGGGCCTTCGTCCACATGTATTTCCCCGTCACTTTTTTTCTTGTTCTTTTTTAACTGAACCAGCTTTAATGAGCTGGGCATCTGGACATTATTAATGAATGTTTTATTCCTATGGGAGATAATCAAGCATATAAATCTCAAGTTTGCCATAGAATCTAATTTCCTAGTAACAGGATAAATGAAGACTCAACATTGTCAGGCTTGTTTTTTTTTCCTTTAACTGAAAACCATTTTCTTATATTGACAATGTAAATACAAGGAGCAAAGAATTACAAAAATTCTAGTAAAAGTCCTTTTACTTTATATCATGATCTCTTGCAATTCTTACATGAAATATTGTATGGGCTTGCTTCGCGCTTAAGTTATAAGTGGTATTTAGTACAGTTTTGGTTTTTTAAAAATTTATACCCAAACCAAACCAAACTCCCAGCCATCGAGTCAGTTCCAACTCATAAACGACTCTGTAAGGCAGGGTAGAATTACCACCGTGGGTTTCTGAAACTATAACTCTTCATGGGAGTAGAAAGCTTCATCCTCCTCTCTCACATTGACTTCTGGATTCGAACTGTGAACTTTGTGGTTGGCAGCTCATTACGTATCTCATTATGCCACTAGGGCTCCTGTTTTGACTTATTAGTAATTTCCTCATTCAGTTTTGAATTAATTTGCACGGTTTAGATTTTGCTTTTCAATATTACTTGTAACTAACCCATAATTTATAACATGTATCAAACACTCAAACTCACTGCCAGGAAGTCAATGCCAACTCCTAGGGCTCTATTAGCGTGCATATGTGACCAGGAGTTTGCCTATTACCAATTAGATTAATGTAGTTAAAAGCAGTATCTGTTCTATTACTCCTTACTCAATGTAGTATAATAATTAACCACCTGTTAAATATAACTATTTTTCTGGCAATATAGTTTCACTTTATTCTTTTGTTAACAGTTAAGATTTTTAAAAAACAAATAACCATTTTGTTTTCTGTCTCCTGGAAAACAGAAATATTATAAAAGTATATTTTGAAAAATATTCTGAGTATATTGTTTCTCCTTAGTCATAAGTAACTAAATGATTAAGAAGTGTAGAGTAGTTCAAGGCGATAGTTCATCCCATCGCTGTGCAAGAGTACATAGATGAGAGGTGACGCACTTGATCGGATCTGAAGGCCAAATAAGATTATAAGTAAGGAAATGAGCTGGGTGGTGATAACGCTGTAGGGTCACCTCCCTGTTGTCATTGCAACAGGGGGAGCAGTGGGGACTGAGCCTCCAGCAGGCTTTGCCAAAGCAAAACAGAAGAAGGGAGAGGCCGCTGGCCTTGTGTACATTTCAGCGCTTTCTTATAGGCCTTCTCCACTTTCCCCTTAACTCAGGAAGAAAGGTACCGGAAGCCAAAGCGCACACTCAGTGTTGTCAAGTCAGTCCTGATGGAGGACAGGCTAGCACTGCCCCTGCGGGTTTCCCAGGCTCTCCATCTCCACAGGAGCAGACAGAACCGCTGGAGGTTTCCGCCCGCAGCCCTGCTTTGCTCTACTGCGCCACCAAGGCACCTTAGAGGTACCAAGGGAATGGCTAGCAGATTCGACTTTAGATGTTGTTAGACCCTCGGCTGAGAGGAAAAGATGAGGCCCTCAAACTCTCTAACCTTAGGGCCCCTTTACATGGAGGAGCCCAATGAGAAGTATGTTACTTCATTTACGTGGGCTCTATCTGTGGATAGATCTCGTGTGAACGAAAACTGAGAAAAATATTAAAATAGTTATGTAATAAAATGTTTAACAGCCAGCACATGTTAACACCTAACATTTCTTATGAAAAATAACGATCCTTCTTCCCCACCAAAAAAACTGTTTACTGAGAAAAGTACCATTTTATATTTTTATATATCGCTTTTTTTTAACTGGTTTTTTTAAAAATCATTTTATTAGGAGCTCATACATATATATATATATATATCACTTTTCTGTGAGGCTGAATAAAAGACAAGATTCTCATATTTGCTTTCCACCTCAGTCATCTTTCATCTGGAAACTCTACTGTCGACACTTCTGAGGGAATGAGAGGGGAAAAGAGAAATTCAGTCTTCATGTTATATAAAAAGTGACCCTGAAAGGTTATGGGAACACCAGGAATCCCCAGGCCTCACTTCAGTCATTACTTAACATATTTCATAAGCATGAATTACTGAATGCTTCTGTGTTCTTTTCATTTGTATTGGGCAAGTGCCAGGGGCACACAAATTGCTGTCCTGGTCTCAGGGAAGGAGGCCTAGTGACGGAGTGGGTTGTGTGTTAGGTGTTGGACTGAGAACAGCAGGGTCAACAGTTCAAAACCCACGAGCTGCTCTGCAGGAGAAGGATGAGGCTTTCCGCCCCCAGAAAGAGTTATAGTCTCAGAAACCCACAGGAGCAGTTCTGCTCTGCCCTATAAGGCCATTATGAGTCCAAATTGACTTGATGGTACCAAGTTTGGGTTATAGGTCTCAAGGAATAAAGACAAACATGTAAATCAACAGGATGAATGTTTGAAAAAGTGCAGAGGAGAAAGCAATACAGAAGAAGATTGAGAAAAGAGAGTTCAATGGACAAAGCACAGTCCTAAGAACCAATCAAAGGAATGCCTACAGACGGCACTGCCGTCAGTCGCCTGTTACAGCTCCGGAGAGCTGCACCATAGGCTTCCCAGGGCAGTCGTTTTCACCCAAGCAACTGCCCATCTTTCTCCCTTGGAGCGGCCGGCCGCTCGGTTTGAACCGTAGACCTTTCTGGTTGGCTGGTGAGTGCTTAGCCTACTGCACTACCAAGGCTCCTCATAGAGTCCGGGACCTGCAGTTTCTTGGCCTCTGACGCAAAGTTCCCTCCCACTGCACCCTGGCCCAAGAGTGTGCTTTTCTCTGATCCCTAAATCCATGACAAACGCAAAAAATAATGTGTTTTAAACGTAAAAGTTTATATTTTAAATGTACTTAGAAGCACCCATAATTCTACCATCTTCACTTTTGCTTTTGGCCATAAACATTTCCAGATCCATACAAGAGCCAACAAGATTGGCAGGAGGCCACCATCAACAACCCAACACCCTCAAACTCATCGTCATCAGGTCAATTCCCACCATAGGGTGGGATCGTGTGCACTGAAAGAAAAGACGGAGGAAGGGACTTTGCA